ACGGATAACCTGCAACAGAGCATGTAAGTCAAAGTTCAATGACAGCCGAAAGTCGGACCAGTGTATCCTTAATCATCTAAGTCGGTTGGGCACCGACATCGTTCACAGGACGGAAGCTAAAACCCGATCGAAGAGCCCCCCGGCACCCAGTGGGATTCCGGTGAGATTAGTCACGTTGGAGCAGGGAACAAACGACTAAAGATCCCTATAAGAAAAGGAGTTAGGGCAGCGGGGAGAGGGGGAGGGGTCATAAACTCTGTGCAAAATCTGGGTGCATGTTCCCTTTACAACGAAATGCTTAACCGAGTGTTGCGACTGAATAGCCAGGGAAACAATCGAGATCTGGTGTGCAAAAGAAGTTCTTTCAACGAGTCTCCCGGATGCAGCTGGGCATGCAGGTCAATCGCGAACCCAAGTACAGCTGTGAACAAGAGCCAGACACCCATTGTACACGAAAACGCAACCGTTAACACGGGCGTAACTTCAGCCTGTGCTTCTGCGGGTGAAGATGACAGCAGTCGAGGGTGCGAACTAGATAAACAATGGCAAGCAAACTATTGCTGCTGTACGTGAGGATGACCGACGACAACACTGCGGTGCCCCCAGCCAATCAGCACGATAGAAAGTGTGCCCCCCCCCACCCCCAGCTCTCCCCTGCCGTGGAGGCTGCTAACGGCAAGTTAGCTTGAGTTGCAGATCAGTGTTTACTCTTGACAGTGCAAGTCTGTTATTCTTGTATTCTGTTATTTTCGTGAGCAGGACTCCAGTTTAAGTTTAGGTGGTGAATACTTGTAGGCACTTGTGAGGCACTCTTGATGGAGCTTTTAAAAACACTTGTGTATGCTCTACTTAATAAGTAAAACGGTGCCTACTTCATACCCGACAAAAACCTTATTCACTGAATACCGTTCAACCTGATTTAAAATCATCACTCTAGGCAGCTGCTTCCTCGAATTTGGGAGTTGTTTGACTATCTGAATCTTCTGATTCCGGACTGTCTGTGTGGACAGTGACCTTGGGTCACAGGATAGTACTCCGGCCATCCTCCATTTAGACGTTAACGCTAACCGGCTATTTATTGAACACGAGGTTTCATTCTCCTTGGGTGTCATGTTTGTGATGATCGGAACGTATTGCCGACAAATAGGGAAAAAAGAGACGGGGAGTTGGCTGGAATGGTCAGTTTTGACCTTAATGCGTTATCACTCGACCGTGTTGCAACCCCAAACGGTCATATTCAAGGTCATTGTGGATTTATATCCAGCGGATTATAATGGTTGCTTTGACCAATCCCCTTTCCCGCCGGTCGGAAACCGCACAAACTGCAGAAGGCATATTACTTAAGGCAATTAAGACTGGAATAGCCTTTCGGTCGGCCAGCTTAAACCAACCGGAAGAGGTCATTCTTTGGCTGTGCGTTCACTACGGAAACCCTCGACGATGGGTACCTCGGTTTTTTTTACCGGACATTATGCGCCAAGTGCAGTGCGCGCCTAAGCTGGCTCCCGCTCCATGAATTTTCTCCCCGGGAACTCGTTTATTCGCTCTCCACGTACGTTATTAGCTATACTGGGGGCAAATCCTTGAGTGGGCACTTTAAAAACAGTAAAAATGCTATTTAACTGTAAATGGGTAGCTTTTGCACAGTCACTTTTCTAGAGAGGGTTTAAAATCGAGCTTTGGCTGAAACCGCCTGGACATCAAACCCTTCTGTCGTTAATCCGGAATTGTGCACTAGATGCCACAAGCGCCATCCCTTTGCCGGGCAGTGTCTCAAACCGTACCCGTGATTAGTAGTTGTGCGAAAATTTAAAACATCAGCTCGAAAACCGGAATGGGACGAGTGTATACATTTTGTTGAACAGAACTCTTCCCGCCCCTGCTAGCTCAAAAATGACGCTACGTATCAATCCCAATGATAGCCCTTCGTTCTAGTGCCATTCGGCGTACCCTGCCTTGACATTGTTTCCCGGCGCCCATGGCGATGTGGGCGCCTTTGATGGGAATGCATTTATTTGTTTCACAGCCCGCGAGGTCTGTGTGCTCACAGGATCACAATCAATATTTGCGAAATGTGCGCTTGGCTGCATGTCAGCTCCAGTCACAGTCTCCAGTACCAGCGCGCCGAATTATTGATTTTTTTAGTATTGTGGACTGTTCACATGCCGCAGGGTGGGAGGATGATGTGGGAACTGACTATCTGCAGCCTGCTTTCGCTCATGCCGGTTCTGACAGCGACAAGTAATCAATACTCGGAGGCTATTGGCGACAGAGGGGCGAAGAGGTAAACTGCTCTCGCCCTTGGTAATATTTATCTGTCTTGTATCCGTCTAGTGTGGGTTTTTCTCTATGCCTGTGAATGCTGGGTTATGCGTGTGGAAGATAAAAGGAAACTGGAAGTATTTAGCCCCTACTGCTTGGCCGTTAACGTGGAGAAGGAGACAACGTCAATACCTCAGAGTGAGGCTTCTACCGCATGGACGGAGGTACGACGGCAT